TAAAATGCATATCGCTTCTTCATCAGCGCATAGTAAAGAACCCATGCGGCGTACAGAAGGCTAAGTGACAGCTGAAAGAGATAGCTGAGAGCTGGGACAGGTTCGGTGAAGTGGCTCGGTTTCGAATTGCTCGAGCCTGCCATGTACCGAAAGGTGTTGAGGGCACCAAATATGACATCGAGGCTGATAAGAGCGAATGCTGTCCATTTAATGATAATCTTCTCGCGTTGGCGCGGGAAAAGGCGGATCAACGTCTGGGCCTGCGCCAGCCAGAGGAACGTGTCAGATATGAGCTGAATGACCTTCAGATCCATCCTCGACTGCACCATCTGCTGGAGCCTCTGAGCATCGTCTTTCCCGCCGTGATACTGATCCTCAGCTTCGCGGAATGTCTCAACCGTGGCAATGGTCAACGACACGGCCACGAGGAGTGTTGCAACCTTCTGTAGCCAGGGCCGACCTCCGATACTAATGCCGCCTGAAGCGCCGTTGGTAAAACCACGGCGTCCTAGTGTCACGACTCCGCCATCTAAAAACGATCTCGGTGCGATGACGAGCATAATCAAGAGCGTGTAAGCAAGCACGGTGGTGGCGGCCAACGCATAGCACTGCGCTGATATCGAGGAGTAGAACGGGCCCTTCAGTTTGTTAGGACTGTCCGGCGGGCCTGGCCAATTCTTCTCGTCCGGGCGGATGCTACCGGTGACGATGATGGCGCGGTGGGCAATGGCTGCCGCCGCCGTGGCACAGGAGGGTATGAAGACAGCATCGGCGGTCAACGTCGTCGGTGTAGCGCCTGCAACGGATAGTACGCCGTTCGCGGGGAGTGTGAGTGGTACACAGGCGGTAGCCATGCTCACTTGTCGCAGAAAGGGAGTTGCAATTGTAAGGCCAGGCTGCGAGGTACAAACGCCCTAGGGTTCGTTCGCGTCGGTTATGACCAATGACTGGGCCACGGAATGATCGACCGAAGACGGTTTATCGGATAACGTTCGCCATGGAAATCGACTAGGGGGCCCTCTCGAGGGCTTCGGGAAGGCGTGCTTTCAATCGAGTCGCGTTGCACCGCCTTGTTCTATGTTGTCTGGGTGCTTCCTTGGTCGCGACTCAAAAGATGACTCCTAGCTCTTGCTTCTGCCTGTGTGACGGTTGATCGTCTTTCGTCTGTGTCGCGTCAAGATGTGGAGAGCGGACCGATCAATCGGCCATATGGTCGTTTTTCTAATAATTCTCTGTGCGTTGTCGTGCAACGAGGCGCGAGGTTCAAGGTGTTTGAATGTATTGTTAGTTCAAGGCTGGGCGCCGAGAAGCAAGACCGTTAGAGTGGTAACAGGAAAAGGGAGAGAGGCGATGGGAAAACTTGGGAAGTATATCTGGGCAGTTCTGACAAGCAGGTAAGGTTACTGCTGTACTTAGGCAGGTAACAACGTGTAAAATCTGCCCATGACTGCCTCCTTATTGGTACTGTGCACAGCAGTACTGCGGTACGGCGCGTCAACAGACTCAGCACAACGGAAGAGTCAGAAACTGCCCACCCAACCAGCACTATGGAAGCTCGGATAGCAGCGGTGGGGTCTTGGAGAGCATTAAACCCCCGGCCAACCAACTTCCCAAAGCGTGAAGACATCGAGCACAAATTTCTGACACCGACCTGACTTGGTACATGTACGTAGGTTAGCCGGTAAGTCAGACCAATGCTATCTGACAGCACTGGCTTTAGACTTAGTGCCTGTATGTAAGTTGTACAGCAGTGCATGATACAATGTATGTTCTTTTCATTTCATTTGGATACCTAGGTACCTCGACTGTATGTCGCTCTACGAGGTTGTCGATGTGCTCTTTCCTAAAAGGATTCTGGGGCAAATCTATGCCCTCCCTGGTCGAGACCAGTCGGTGGAATAAACAGCAAATCCTTATCTGTTCAACTTTGTACTGGGTTAACCAAGATGTCTAGACCACAACTGCGACAGGTTGTTGTCTTCCCTTAGGTCCGGTCGGTAGAATGCGAGAGCTGCATAACTTTTAATGTAGGTAGGACCTTTACCGACACTTAGCAGAAGGAATAAGACTGAGTTTTGTGTGTGAGGTAGGGCGCAGGATTGCGACAGCTTATTCAACAAGATATTCACCCGCAAAAGAACTCGCGGCCATTTGTTTTGACCTTTACTCTCCCCAATACGAGCGTGGGATTGCTGGATTTCAAATTCGCCTGCTACTGCACATAGGTGGAATGATTAGACCAATTTGTGCAAGCCTTACCTGTTTCGAGCTGGGCATATGAAAAATCTGCCCAAGTACAGTACTTAATTAGTAATAATAAGAGTCTTCGCCATCTACAAAGGATGGATGTGCGATGTAGGACACAAGAGCGCCGAACCCAATCAGCCCTAACCAATGTTATTATGTTAAAGTACACTGTTGGGGGAAAACACACATTTACCACAGCAGCAGTCGACGACCCCACCGGCGATAATGTCGCTGGCTGATGCTCAGGAGGCGTGATGCTGTACGACTCTATACATACAAGGCATGCCGTGTCGGAGATCAGGCACCATAAAGCTGCCCTTTGCTTATGAGGGTCTGTTCACGATAAACAGGAGAAGTAGGTTAAATGCTGATTCCTGCAGTATCGGAGAGGCCAGGCCGAGTGGACCACTTCACATCGACCTAACGGCCATTCCCGCATCGCGTATCATACGACTAACATCGTAGTACAGCATCTAGGTTAATAAGGTGTCTTGTACATCCCGTCTCCCCGCAACGAAATAACCTACTAGACTAGGACCACTAGTTTAAAAACTTTGGGACGTCAGTGGTGAACGAAATGCGCGCGTGGAGTTGCGACTGCATCTCATTGCCAAGAGGTTTTGGGGTATCTAGTGGACCTGCACACGCACACCCATACATCCACACACACACACACTCTCTCTCTCTCCCTCTCTCGCTCTCTCTTCTCTCCAATGTTCCCCTCACCGGCCAACGTTTTCTTTGGTTGTCTTCGGACCGTGCAGATATATGTTGTGTAGTAGGTAGTAAGTATCCCTAGGTTAATACAGTACCCATTGCTTGCAGCCTTGGCGTGAATTAATAGCCACTTGGCCGTTGACCCTGATCGTCTGCTAGTCACTTGGCAAAGCTTATTGAATTTGATCGTGAGCGATAACCTTGGCATTGATTGGGTTAAGGAACATGATCTCAGCGTCCGTTTTTTGGCTTCTCTTCAACAAATAGAGATGCGATGTAGCGTCTCACTGGGCCCATATAAATGCATTGATATCTGCAGCGTTGGAGGGTGACGTATGTATCTTTTAAGGTTAAATCTTTCCTTTCTGGGGATGGGGATAAGGCTCTCCAACTCACGCGGAAGGGAGATGCATCATGGTGGCTTTGATTACAGTCCGGACTAGAATTCTGTACTCTTTTCTGCGTAGTGTTCCATGTCGTACTCTTCAAAGACCGCCCAAAAAGCTTACACCCTACTAGGGCCTGTGATACTGCGTATTTGATCTCGGCGGCTTGGAGAAAGAAAGGATAACTCGTGGCAGGCTGCAGTCGAGTTACTGCTGTCTCTCATGCGTCCAGGCGCATCTGCCCAGAATACGAATACGTCTAAGAGAAGACGATGAGAGACATGTGGAGCATGTGGCTGTCGGGTTTATTAAATTGGTCAAGCCTAAATATTTCATACCTCTGAACAAGGAACCCTCATGACTTTGAAGAATACCAACTCAACAAAAAGCCCTGATTTTCCCAGTACCGAGGAGATGCCCGCGAGAGACGCAGGAAGCATTTGCTTTTAAGCGGCTCGTGTCAGAATACTCAAAACCTTGCCCTCGCTTTCACCTGCTGTGTTCTCTTGGTGGTGTCAGGTCACTGGTCAAGAGAGCTCGAACTCCAATTCAGATATATAGTCTAGAGCTCCGGGGAAATAAATGGTGACCCCAAAAAAATCCAAACATTGAAGCCTTTTTTCGTATACGCGGCACTTTTCTTATACAACCCGCTAACCTAGGTTGCTACGTGATTTGGATCATATGATATACAGAAAAGCTTTCGACTATACCCCTCCCTCACCTAACATACGAACTCGGAGAGGGTCCCTGGATCGGATACCTATATGCCAGACGACATGTCGAATAGGTACCGTCTCGGACGGCAGCTGCTGAGTACGCTCTACCAGAGAATCCGGCCATGGGATCTGAACTAACTTAGCAGTCTCGCACGCTTGAGCGGATGATAAAGTAAGACATATGCAGGCATCACACAGGTGACAGCATAATCATATCACCAGCACAGACAGCCCATTTGCTCCCTCCCGTTCGATGTTCCGGCCTCGCATATCTGCGAGCTCACATCCTAGTACCCGCTGCGAGTGGGCGTAGTAGCTCCCCTTTTCATATTGCCTTCCCAAGGCTCAAGGCCTTCCTTCTCGTACAGACTACAATTGAAGCCAAAAAAATCAATAACTCACAAGTAGGCTTGCAAAGCACTGCCTGCGTCACAGGTAGCCAGCCAGCCGCAAGCAGTCAGTCACAACAGGTCATCGGAAGAAATTTCTAAGGTCATGTACCAAGCTGCCAAGGTTCACTTTCCGCAGCTCACGATTGCGCGCCATGAATCCGAGCATGGTACACACTACCTACCTACCTGGGGTATCTCCACTACTTCAGCAGCCAGTATCGCAGGAAGCAAAAGACGCCTCTTAGCACATCCTACCTCAAAGATAATCATAGACCAAAGGGCATAAAAAATAACTAGCTACACCTAGCATCGTAAAACAAAAAAAATTACAACACAACAAGAGACTGACATACAAACCCGACCAGAGTGAACCCACAGCCAGCAGACTAACTTAGCACAGCACGTCAGTGATGGATAAAATTAGTAGTGCGAAATTCCAACAAATCACGGCCCGCTTGGCTCACCGGTAGAGCGCCTCACTAGTAATGAGGAGGCAGCTGGTTCGACTCCAGCAGTGGGCATTCTGTCTGATTTCCAAATCCGAATTGGTGTAGTGGCCAACATTTGACGCTCTCATGAAGTGATCCGTCAAGCCCGGGGTTCGATTCCCCGATTCGGAGTTTCTTTTGTCTCACGCCCATCTATTTTTGCTGTGTTGTTTTTTTCTCAAATAGCGCGAGCACCATAGCTATTTGTTCATGTTGCCATGATGGTGTAATGAAAAGGCTACTTCTAAACCAACTTGACTTTTGCTTTTCTTTTGATGAATCATCCTTCTGCCTTGTCAGTAGCTTGCTACTAAGAGCTTTCTAATTATACTGCACATTATGCTACGCGTACTAGACTTAGCAAGTTGTGAGCGTATGGCTTGTCTTGTCTACTAGCACCACAGAGCAGCATATTGTTTTGTGAGATATTCCTAGGAGATGAAGAGTGGCGGTATTGATAATATGTAGGAGCTACTTGTCAGTCTAGGTAGGTGTGCTTCAAGCGGTCCTGTCTGTTCCAATCTCGTACAGGGCCTTTACCAGCAAGCCTCAGACCTCATAACAACCTGAGAATACCCGGGACATCATGGAGGCAATGTCACCCATCACGTCCTTGTGTGTATCCATCATTCCATCGAATGCCATCCTCTTCCACTTCGTCGACCCTAGAATAGACCGTATAACCACACCACCCACCAGATCATTCTTCAGCCACAGCTTTCCTCTGTCAGGTTTGTATTGATGACAATGTCATCCCTGTCCCTGAACTGGAGAGTGATCGTGACCCCGGTCAGATTCAAATCGTCCTTGTCACCGTCCTCAGCGGCAGACGTCGTCGAGGAAATGCTCGACATCTCGGCCTTGAGCTGCCGGATCTCGGCCGCCAGTGCCAGATAGCGCGATTTCCAGCAACTATTGTGGTGTGAGGGCACGATGGGCCTCGGCGACACGATATCGATCTCGACCGAATCATTCTGAGCTAGCCGCTCTCGTTCGGTATGGTGCCGGGAGTACCGCTCATCCTGACATCTGGATGCCCTTCCACCGTCTCTATCTGCGTCTCCATCGGCATCTCCATCGGCATCTCCATTGGCGTCCCCATCGGCCTCTCCATTTGCGTCTCCGTCAACGTCTCCACCAGCATCTCGGTCAGCGTCTCGGTCAGCGTCTCCTCCAACGTCTATATCAACGTCTATATGAACCGTTGTATCCGGCCTCTGTCGGGCGTCTGGGAAGGGGGATCGCTGCGCGCTCCTGTGTTGGGGATGGTCTTCGTCCTAGGTTCTTTCATCATCGTCTCCTCGACGTTGGTGTTGTGAGACATGCGATGCAGTGGCCGGCGATGGAGTAGAAACCCTGACTACCTCGATTATTTCCTCACCGTCTCCTCGACGTTGGTGTTGTGAGACATGCGATGCAGTGGCCGGCGATGGAGCAGAAACCCTGACTATCTCGATGACTTCCTCACTTGGCTGCGCGTGGTGGCTTGAGGAGCGGCTTGAGGAGCGGCTTGAGGAGCGGCTTGAGGAACGCGATCCTTTTCCACCATGAGCCCGACGACCTTTCCGATGGTGGCCGAGGATCTTGGAAAGGAATCCATGGTCGCGCTCAGGTCTCTCATCACTTTTCGGTTCAACATGATGTAGTACAGAGATGACATCGGCTCCTTCTTTGGTCGGCTGCTTCAGCCAAGGGGGCGTATTGATCAACCGTCGTTTTGGCGGATCGTGAGAATCGAGTTCTAATCTTGACTCATCCCTTGCTTGTGTCTCATCACCTTCGAATCTGGCTTTCCTCGCTTCGTATGAGCCGCTTGGAGATTTGATGTCCACTTCGTATGAGCCGCTTGGAGATTTGATCTGCACTTCGTATGAGCCGCTTGGAGATTTGCTGTGCTGTGAACGGTGGCTCGGTATCGGCAAGGCCCCTGAGTTCTCCACATCTATCTCGGCATCTATATGTATGGCGGGGATTCGTCCGTGGCTCTTGGTGTGTGTGTCCTGTTGAGTTGAGGCACTCACGAGACCTGTCATCTTGCCGCTGTGCTGGCTCCCATACTTGGTCTGCTGACTCCCATACTTGGAACATGACACAATATGGCGATAAGGGTGACGCCCAGAATGTGCCGCTCTGCACAGAGCATCATCGCATTCGTCTCGATATCTCTTGTCGGAGGAGACATGGTCCAGCTCTGTGCCTTCATGGTCTCGATCCAGTTCTCTGCCTTCATGGTCTCGGTCCAGCTCTCTGCCTTCATGGTCTTGGTCCAGCTCTTCGGGTTCATTGCCTGGGTCCAGCTCTTTGCCTTCATGGTCTCGGTCTAGCTCTTTGCCATCATGGTCTCGGTCCAGCTCTTTGCCTCTATGGTGATCACGACTTGGGGCATCCCGAACATACCTGACAGTTTCGGTCTTCCGGCATTCAATTATCTCTGGAGACGCCGACCCACTCCCGTCGTCATCATCCACATCTCGCCAGCTACAGTTGCCACGAGCTTTAGGTGGTTGATGCTGCCCGGCGCCCGAGTGAACCTCATGCCGGTCTTGCGGAGCGGGATGGTGTCTCGGGTTCTCATGATGGCGTGCTTTTCTGGATTCCACCTCCGTCTCCTTCGTGTCCAGAGGTACATCCGACCCACTCCCGTCGTCATCATCCACATCTCGCCAGCTACAGTTGCCACGAGCTTTAGGTGGTTGATGCTGCCCAGCACCCGAGTGAACCTCATGCTGGTCTTGCGGAGCGGGATGGTGTCTCGGTTTCCCACGGTGGTGTGCTTTGCTGGATTCCACCTCCGTCTCCTTCGTGCCTATAGGTGCATGTTGCGGTCCATCTCGGACGATGGCAGTGTCGGCATGAGCTTGCCGGAATCTGCCGGAAATATCGCAAACGCACTTTTGACAAAAGCGGTGGCCACAAGAAGAGCAGGATGCCGGAGCCCGCGTCACTGCTGAGCACACGTGACAGTGTATGAGATATTTTCGGGGGCTGCCATGTCCGTCCCCAGATAGAGATGGACTCTCCCCATCTGAGAGCCAGCCAGCGGGCTCATCAATGTTATACTGTATAAACATGTCCCGGGCCGACCTCCGTTTCTTCGCATGGGAGGTCGTATGCCATGCGTGTTTGTGCTTCGGATGGTGTTTGAGGGGTCTTGTGATATGCGCTGTGCCAACGTCAGGTTTCGACATTGTACATACGAGATTATAGCGAGGCCCTTCGGCGTGGCCATGTCGGCCGCCAGTGGATCGAATCTCCGTGAGACCAAATTGATCACATAGATGGCCCATAGTATAGCACTTCCGACACGATGGCCCAACCCGGGGCATTGGCAGGTGTCCGGCTTGGTGAGAGGTGCATGCATAGTCATTACCCTTGTTCGGGTTCGCATCACAGGTGTGGAAGACCATTGTCTGGGCATTCGGAGGCGTCTGGAAGTCGGTGACAGTGTAGGTGTGCATCGTGGGATCTACGACCCGGCGGCGTGGCTCTACCAAAGAGGGGTGCTGATGGCCATGGTTGGCGAGATCACCATCGTTGGAGGGAACGGTGTCTATGGAGGTCTCAGCCTCACGTGTCTGGTTGAGTTCGTCGCCGAGTCCGTCCATGTTGTTCCGGAATATATGAAATCAAGGATAGAAGTGAGCTCAGGCTATGATGTCAAGAGATATGGTAAAAGGCACTGCCGTTAGCTGGAGCTTGCGATAACAATATTGTTTATGCTCAAGAAACCTAGGTAGGTATATGATCGGTCAAGAATGCCAACAGAAACGAGACCAATAAAAGGAATGAGGAATCAGACCAGCTGAAGCTGTGGTGGTAAAGGACAAGTTTAGAGTCAACAAAGCTGGAAGGGTAGGGAAATATATAGTCAACGCAGTGAGCAGGAAGGAGAGAGACAGATAGGTCCGAGGAAAGAGACAGACAGACAGGCCCGAGGAAGGAGACAGACAGACAGGTCCGAGGAAAGAGACAGCCTGACGGACAGGTCCACGGAAAGAGACAGCCTGACGGACAGGTCCGAGGAAAGAGACAGACAGACAGGTCCAAGGAAAGAGACAGACAGAAAGGTCCGAGGAAGGAGACAGACAGAAAGGTCCGAGGAAGGAGCCCAACTGAAACTGACGAACAGAGCCCAAAATGTTGGCCCATCCCGTCTGGCGAAGGAGGCAGTCGCAACAACTAGGGCAAGCAGGCACATCGTTATGTATGATGGGAGGAAACTACAGTTTGCCAATGCTCAAGGATGCTGCTAAACCTCATCGGGTCGCTCATACGAAATGTAGGGAATTATTCTGATGTACAAGTTGGTGTCATAGTATCCTCTCTATACAGTTTATTTTAGGACGGCCTGCAAGCTCTCTAGAACCTGTGCAATGTATTAGCTTTCTTGTACTAGACGTCCCTGTGGTATCTCTTACCTCTAGCTCGATCTTAGCCTCGGCAATGTCTTGCTCACTGCCACTGCCGCTGGCGACCTTCTGCGCCTCGGTGATTTGGGACCGAACAGCCTCTGCGCTGAAGTCCTCCAAGGGATAACCTTCGACGGCGTTGATGCTCAGAACCGAGTTGGGCTGAACGGTGGCGAAGCCGCCGGAAACTAGCATTGATGTTTTAGCAATCTTCCAGCGCTGATTCTCCTTCTTCTTCTTATTCTTTATGACAGTCGCACGTACGGAAAAACTGCTTGCTGGCACCACCCTCCTCAATGACCTCGATGAGACCAGGCTTCAATTGTTCGATGGAAGGAACGTGGTTCGCGAGGACGCCCATCTCTCCAGACTCGGCAGGGATGTTGACTTGGACAACATCCTGGGAGGTGTAGATGGACTGATGCGGGAATTAGCAGGTAGGGCGACAACGGAGACGTTGGTAGGCGAGATCGACATGATGGAGAAGGGGTCGCAGAGTTGCTGTATCAGCGCCGGGGCTGTGCTTTCGAGATAACCCATACCTGGTGAGGAAGAGACAAGCTTAGCTTGATCTACGCAAAAGTTAGCAAATCGACCTCGTAGCTGAAATAGCTGGTATATGCGGGAGTGCATGCCTTGTCAGGGGCGGCATCAGCATAGCTCCGTCGTTGCAGAGGCTGGATGGGGAGCCGCAGAGCAGCGGGGCGGGCTCTGAGAGCTGTT